TTTCGGAGACCCCATTCACGAATCCACATCCACATCCCCGAAGTTCTTTGAGCCAACCGTGTTCTGGGGTTCCCGTTTGGAAAATTTGATCCCGATCTCCCCGTCCCAAACTTCTTTCAGTCACCGCAATACAAATTGTCCGGGGATTTCAGGAGCGCACTCTCGAATCCATATCTGCAACAACGTTTAAGCCGACCGCATTCCCGGGGTCCCCAAGGGCGAAAGTTCATCTCCGATTTTCCTGTCCTCGACTTTTTCCCGTCCCCGCACTACACTTCTGTCATGGGCCTTCTTTAATCACGAAGTTCCGTCAGAATTTGCGCGCAGTACTCATGACATTCCACAAATGGTTTACTTATTTTCAGAACAATGCAATTCCCCTGTTCGCTTCTCATAATCAGCCTGGCGTTGGCTATTACTACGAGTAAGTGACGGTCACTTCATTTCTAAGCAATCTTGTTATTCTGAACTTTGTTAATTTCATCGTTCCTCATGGCTCACGGGATTGATTTGGAGAATAAATAAATTTCGAATTGTATCGATGCATTCATTGGTGGTCCTTGTTCGGTGGCATTTTATGTACATAACCTGAAAGAAAAAGGTCAAATATGTCTCACTGATTTCAGATGCACTTAATATAATAGAACCCGAGGAATCGAGTTTGCCGGAAAGTTAGTTAATTGTCAAGTTAGAATTTTGTTTTCAGTGTTATCAGGACTGCAATAATTATGTTAATGCAAAAGGAAAACATCAATAATTTGGCATCACCGATCTTGTCATTCGCTCAAACGGATATACGTAACTAGTTGATTTCACTATCAATAACAGACTCGTAGAGATGTTTCTCTTGATTTTCAGCCTTCAGAACCAAATCAGTATGACTGCTATTTGTTAACTGATACTGAAAATATAGATACCGATATCTGTGCGGACAAGGATGATTTGGACATTTTATACCGTTATAACCATCTCTGTCTTATTCGAATCCTTCAGATGGTGAGTCGCGCTGCGGCAAAACGTATGTTCCTTAAAGTTAACTTGTTCGCCTCTAAACAACCTGATTCATATTAGGATACTGTGGAGAGATCAATTATGAATTCGATTTTTAGAATAGATAGTCGATAGATATGGGATGGAGAGAGTCCAAGTTACGGCCCCTATTCGTTGACATTTACTCCCAGGTTATTCACGGAACATCGTCAGAACGATATGCATAACCTTGATGGAAAGACTGTAGAGGAGATGAATGGAATTTTGAGGAAATGTATGAGATGGCAAAATGTAAGGAGTGGATGAGAAGGTGGTTTGGAGATGAGGAGACATAGATACATGGCAATATGTGAGATAAAAAGTTGAAGGTACCTGGGTTAAGTCTGTCGAATCATTTTGATTGCGAACTCGTTTTGGTTGGGGATTCAGGTATTCAGACATTGTTCTTGAGGTCATTATGGCTGTCGAAATTATAGCTGAAAAGTTATGTTGTGTGAACGGTGACGGTGTTGTGGTAGTGGTAAACGAGCGCGGATGTTAGATATATTATGACGCTTATACCCTATTTCAATGAGATGGTAACTGAATAAAGCGAAAGTGTTAGTGACGGCTTAGATTATAAAATAATTTTTGGAAAGGAGTTTGCAGAAATTTGGCAAGTGTATAAAGAGTGTGCATAATTTTAGGTTTATTTAGGTGCGAGATGAACAAAAATTGGAGTTGGAAGAGTTATAGATGTAAGAGAGTAAATTTCTGTGGTGGTGGTATTAAGCCGAGTGATTGGTTGAAGATGGAACTGTGCTGTATATGGTATATTGTGGTGAAGAGGGAAAAGTGAAGGAAGGCCGGAGGGCATAATTGTGTATGTGTGGGAAGTTGTGTTGGATGAGGAGTGTAGCGTATATTGTTTTGAGGCGAAATTGTTGAGGATTAGGAAAAGGTTAAGTAGAATACATATGTAGTGATGAGGATGTGAAGTTTATGATAGATAGCGTATGGAAAGAGTTGTTAAGAAATATTGATTTTGACCTTGTTTATGATCGAGCAGATTCTCGGCTTCCTAAAAACGAAGAACACGCCGGGAAATTCTGCCTCTGCGAGGAGATATAGCTATTTTCCTGATGCTATAGGGGTTAGCTCATTGAACCCTACCGTACTCTCAGCTTTGAGCAGTAACATATCAATTTCTCCACACCGATCGATCGAGCAGAATCTCTGCATTCAGAAAAATATATATTTTGTTGGGCGGTTTCGCTTAATTGAGGAGCTATATTTGTCTTATTAAATCTATCTCAACTAGCGCTGAGGCGCTCATTGACATGCGTTTGATCACTATAGATCAGTTGATATTATACGATAAGTTCTGTGATGGAATTCATGTTTTGTGATGTGGGATATGTAAATTTGAGAAGTCAGTGTTTGTTTTAGAACGAGTGGTTTTTTAGATTTTGTGGAGGGATTCGACTGTGAAAACTTTTGATTAGTAGGTCAAGCTAAGATTAACGCAATGCTTTACGAATAGCGCTTGATTATTGCAAATATGGGCATATCTGTTGATTTGAGAAGAAATGACGTTTTTGTGTATGGAAGAATGGATGTTACTCTTAAGGTTTGTGTATTTGTTGACTTTGAAATTGAAGGTGTTGGTTTTATCGTAGATGTCGGTTATGATATTACTGTTATTGATGGTTACATTTAAGTCGAGGAAATTTACGTCGGTGCTAGAGGGTGTGCAGTCAAGTTCTAGTTGATTACCGTGTATATTACTAGCTTTGGTGAGGAAATCGTGTTCGTTAATAATGAGGATGTTGTCAACGTAACGTATAATATCGATATTATTGTGAGGGATTTTGCAGCACTGATATTCAAAAGATCTGCTATATCGGAGCTGGCGTTTCCGCCCATGGGAACGCCTTGAATTTGTTTAAAGATGTTGCAGGCGAAGGTGACGTAGCTTTCGTTGAGGATAGTTTTAATGATATGGTATAAGTTGGAACTGTCATTGGTGATGTTATTTTTGTCATAATAATGTTGGTCGGTATATGAAATGAAATTATTATAGTGTATTTTAATAAACGATTTTTTGGAGTTGTTGAAGCCTAAGTGTACGATGCATGAAATGGATTTGTATATGAGGTTGTGGGGGAGGCGAGCGAAGAGTGTGCTGAAGTCGGCGGTGGCGAGGTAGATGACGCGGTTACATGAATTATGGATAGTATCAATGACTGAGTTTGTGTTGTTGATGTTGAAGTAGTGCTTTTGTTTTGATTAAGCTCGATGATGGAGCAATATTTGTGGAAATGGTTTTTGATGAAGGAGAGGATTTTATGCAAGAAGATTTGTAACGGTTTAATGGATGGTGAACTGCCACCGGCAATGAATCTGAATTTAACGGGATTTTTGTGGAGTTTGGGGATGGCGTAAAGTTTAGGGAGTTTTAAGTTTTCGTTACAAAACATCAATAATTTGGCATCACCGATCTTGTCATCCGCTCGAACGCATATACGTAACAAATTGATTTCACTATCAATAACAGGCTCGTAGAGATGTGCCTTTTGATTTTCGGCCATCAGAAGCAAATCGGTAAGACTACTAGTTGCTAACTGATAGTGAAAATATAGATGGCGATGTCTATCTGGACAAGGATGATTTGGACGATCTGTACAGTTATATCCAACTCTGTCTTACACGACTCCCTAAGATGTTGAGACGCAGTGCGGAAAGACGTATGTTCCTTAAAGTTAACTTTTTCGCCTCTAAGCAACCTGATTCATAATGTTCCTCATGTCAATAATTCCTTTACTATGGCAATAATCAGTAGATTGCCATGCAAATTTTTGACTGGCTTTATTGTGGTTTTTGTGGCGACGAAACTCACGACAGAACTGAGATGCAATGAGTCATGAGCAAGTGATACCTTTTTGTTGAACCCAACAACTTGACTGCAATATTCGTCTCACTTTTCCCATTACAGCATTTTTCCCCAAGGATGACTTCGACTGGCCAATGGATGAAGGTGTCCGAGATCATAATGGTGAACTTCTGTCGAAGAAGAGGATGTCGAATAGTCCATATCATATATTCAGGTCATACCCTATATTTAGGTCATACCCTATATTTTGATCACATATTTGTTGATGATGCTAACAGTAGGTTTGGCTGATTTTTGAATAAATTTGA